ATATGATGCTGCTAATAATTAAGTAGAAGTTTTAGCACAGAGTAGTGCAATTCATTAACGAGCTCGAGCAGGAACAGGTGGTTGCTCGGTTCCCTTAACAGTAGATACTCCTATAATGTCAACTCTTGAGTTTTAATCTTTTTATTAAGAGCTTTTTATATTAAAAATATATGTAATATATATACCTTCCCCTCCCCATAAAGCAAAACATGTTCTGTGCCCTGTTGGGGAATTGGGCTCTGCACACAGGCAGAGAAAAACCCACAGACTCTCCAGGCACAGAACTGGTTTGGGAATAAGGAATTGCTTACATTGAAGGATGTGTTTCCCACATTCAGCTTTGAAGGAACAAAACCCCTGTGTAAATAGCAATAAACTCTGTAACTATGCCAAATGAGTGTACAGTGAGTTTTAAAGTGCAAGACTGTGGTTGTTGGTGGTGATAGCAAGGGAACTGTCTTGTGCAGGGATCTTGCTGGTGGTGGCATTACTAATCCTGTGCTTTGAAATGGTTTAATCCTTTATAGAGTATTTTAATATGTGGTGGAAGGTTAAGTTGTTGAGCTACTGCTTATTAACCAATTCTTCCCTTTAAAAGGTTAATTTCTGTTTTCAGAGAAGAAACAAATCTCAAGACTTCTGTAATCCATGAATGGTAGCCAAGTCCTTGCTGTTAGGAGCCAGGTTGGTGTTTGCAGTTTGAGAAGAACTTGTGAAGTACAAAAACCAAGCTAAGGTCAACATTCCCTGTGTTTGAATCCTGAATGAGTTATTGTCAGGACGTGGTTGATGTTTATATTTCATTGCTTTCATGCAAGATTTCCTTCCTGGGTTTCCTCTGTTCCAGTCTGCAGAAAGAGTCCATCTGGAATATCCAGTTGTACCATTCTTGGGTGTCTTCAGCACCAAACTAAAGCAACAGCTCTGATGAAACAGAAGCTAGAAAAGACCTTCAAAATTGACATCTTGTTAGGAAAACTGCAGCATTGGCAATGTGGTTGTGTTTTTACTCTGACATTTTTTTGGCCTTGACCAGAATTTTAAGGGTGAATTTCATCAAAAATGTTGTGAGGAGTCCAAGTTAGGAGAGTTCCTCTGGATCCTCTGAAGAGTGGTGAGTTCTTTGGGGTGTACAGCAGGATGTAGGATGAATGTTACTGAGGGAAAGGTGCCTGTTGTCCCTCTGTATCTCTGCTGGTCTTTCTCAGTATTGGCAATATTTGGCCTTGAGTTTAGCTCTTACTAAATATTCTGGTGACATATTTCACGTCACCTCCTCTGGAGGAATAACCAACCCATTGCTGTGATGTTTGTGTTTGCAGTGCAGCAGTGACAGAACTACACTGGCACCCTGCAAACCCAACCTGACAATGAGCAGCACCTCCATCCCCCCAAACAGGAGTAAATTAAAATGCTCTTGAGTTTGAGAAGTAACTGTGCTTGAACTGCACCATCTGAATCCAGTAATTCTGCAGAGTGTGTGTTGTGTTGTAAATAGGTAGTGAAGAGGTGTGCAGTGCTGCACTGGCAGTGTGTTTACAGTACCTGTTGAGCTGAAGTGACTTTGGTTTGTGTCCTGCAGGTGATGTGTTTGTCTGAAGGTGGCTGAGAGAATTGCATCTTTGGTCATGTCAGTCTGTACTGAGAGAATAAATGTTCAAAGATGCTGTGGAGTTTACAGTTTCATTCTCACTGACTGGCACGAGTACATTGGCTTTTTTTTTTTTTTTTGTTAATTGAGGGAAATCTGAAACCTCTGCACTGGGTTAGTTTTCCCACCAGACTATTCACAGTTGTCCCAGGACACTGAATAGTCAGGGTCAGTAGTTTAAAACAAAAAAAAAAAGCTTGAAAGAACAAAGCAAGAAGCCAAACACAGTGTGAGGCTCTGACAGAGCTCAGGAGGCCTGAGCTGGGAGGTGATTATGCTACAGTTAAGGTGCACAACTTCTTTAGTTATGGCTGCTTGGAAATTAGAAATATTCAGGGAAACCTAGTTGGAAGTTCATTTAACATTCCAACTCTGAACAGCTTGAAGGTGCTCTAAGGCTGTGCTGACACACACAATGGAGACACTCAACAATGGCTATAGAATGGGACAGTGAAGTAGTTTTTAAAGCCAGATCAACCTATGCCAGTGTCTCACCACTCTCACAGGGAAAACTTCTGCCTAAGATCTAATCTAAATTTCCCTCCTTCAATTTGTGCCCATTGCCCCTTGTCCTGTCCCTGCAGCTCCTAACACAGATCCCTCTGCAGCTTCCCTGGAGCCCCTTCAGCTCCTGGAAGGTGCTCTGAGGTCTCCACACAACCTTCTCTTCTCCAGGCTCAACAGCCCCAACTCCCTCAGCCTGTCCTCACAGGGGAGATGCTCCAGTGCTCTTAGCAGCTCCGTGGCCTCCTCTGGACTTGCTCCAACAGTTCCACATCCTTTTTACACTGAGGACACCAGAACTGTGTGCATTATTCCAGGTGGGTCTCACTAGAGCAGAGGGAGAGAATCACCTCCCTCGACCTCAAATTCAAATTCCTTCGACTTCAAGCATGGAAATCACTGAGTCTTTAGTTTTCAGTACTGTAGGAGCATTATACTCCAGTGGTGGTAGGTTACCGGATCATTCAGCCACGTGAGCTCTGTGCAGTCAGAAATGTTACTGAT